GCAGAATAGGCAGCTGGCCCACCTTTCTCTGGCTGTTCTTCCTAGGGCGCTCGTGGCATAGTCGCGAGACGTTCGGGGCCCTCGGCTGGCGCCGTTGCTTTGCACGCTGCATCGACCAATTGTTCATTGCGCACGGCCATGTGATCCACAAGCGGCATTGTCTGCGCACGCCCGGGATGAAGCAGGCGGGGGCGGCTGGGCGCCGCGGTCCTTGAAGTGGTCGATGAGGCTGTCCTGGTACAGATTGTCATGACACGGGTTGAGCTTGACGTCGTAGGTGTCCTTGTACTGGTTGTCGTAACACGAACTCCCTGTCACGAGGCCTGGGAGGGGCGCAGTGAATACGGTTGCAAGAAAGCGGGGAGAAGTGGACGCCCAGGTGATCCACAGATGACGAGAAGAGGGCGGCGCCGCGCAGGACATGGCGCCCTGAGGGTAGTGGAAGGGAGCCGGAGCTCCGCCATCAACTAAGAAATAAGGTACGCGATGCCATCGGATGCTTTCACGTGAGCAGGTTGGGAGCGAGTCTAACACCTCTCAAAAAGGGCACGGGTGCACGACCAGCTGCCTGGGCCCAAAAGGCAGCGGTAAGGGAAGATTATTCAGACAGGAGAAACGGCAGGCACCAAAGGATACATCCCTCGAGGAGGAGGAGGAGGAGAAGGAGGTAGGAGGGAGGAGGGAGGATGGAGGAGGAGGAGGAGGAGGAGGAGGAGGAGGAGGAGGAGGAGGAGGAGGAGGAGGAGGGAGGAGGAGGAGGGAGGGAGAGGGAGAAGGGAGGAGGGAGAGGGAGAAGGGAGTAGGAGGAGGAGGAGGAGGAGAAGGATCGTCCCTCGTTTTCGTTGCCCTGCGGGGAATCCTTCGTGGCCGCAGCTAGACGTGGCAAAAAAAACGGGACAGGTGGTTGGGTCGATGTTTGAAGGAGGCAACCAAAGCCACAAACATGATCGACCCACGAACCCGGAAAGGAATACAGAAGTGTAAGGCATGGCAACGTCGCAAAGACATCTGATTGGGCGACAGGCAAATGCAATGCTGAGTGTATCAATCTTGATGTACCGTGCCGAGGGCTGTGCTGTGCTGCGCCGTGCTGAATTGCGATGTGCCATGCCGCGATTGTGCTCTATAATGTTGTGGATCGAGTCCAACTTTGCATCCGAGTCCTGGCCAAACTGATCTGAATTTTAAGTTCGAGCTGCCTGAGCACATAGTAGCTGACCCAAAGTTAATCGACAGGGGGACATGCCAGGAGGACGCGCCGCGGAACGTCCCAAGAGACGCGCCAGGCGACGTGCCAGGGGACGTGCCATGGGGACGCACCGTGGGACGTGCCAAGGGACGCGCTACGGAACGTGACCATGGACGTGCCACGGGACGTGCCAGGGGACGCGCCGCGCGGCATGCCAGGGGGACTCGCCACGGGACGCGCCACGGAACGTGCCAGGGAACGTGCCAGGTTGCAATGCTGAGTGTATCGATCTTGATGTACCGTTCCGAGGGCTGTGCTGTGCTGCGCCGTGCTGAATTGCGATGTGCCGTGCCGCGGTTGTGCTCTATAATGTTATGGATCGAGTCCAACTTTGCATCCGAGTCCTGGCCGAACTGACCTGGATCTTAAGGTCGAGCTGCCTGAGCACATAGTAGCTGGCCCAGAGCTAATTGGCAAGGGGACATGCCAGGAGGACGCGCCGCGGAACGTCCCAAGAGACGCGCCAGGCGACGTGCCAGGGGACGTGCCATGGGGACGCACCGCGGGACGTGCCAAGGGGACGCGCTACTGAACGTGCCAATGGACGTGCCATGGGACGTGCCAGGGGACCCATGTGCTTTCAGGCTTGCCCCGCCTTGGGGAGTTAGGAACCATGTGTTTTCACGTATCTCCCGCCCCGTGACGTTCGGAACCCGTGTGTGTGTTCGCGTTTGTCCCGCCCTTGGGCGTTAGGAACCCATGTGCTTTCGCGCTCCCCCGGCTCTGGGGCGTTAGGAACCATGTGTTTTCACGCTTGTCCCGCCCTGGGGCGTCAGGAACCGATGTGTATTCACGCTTCTCGAGCCTCCTGGGGCCTCCTGGGGGGCGGGGGGGAGCAAAAAGCGCTCCCCAACCACATATCCCAATACGTGGTTCCAATTCGGGACAATCATGTTAGATACCCCCCATGGGTGGCCTGGGCACGTAAAAACACGTGGGACCAGCTCTGGGCAACACTGTTAGATACACCTCTGGGTGACCTGGTCACGTTAAAACACATGGTCCTTGCTCGGGGCAACCATGTTAGATATCCCCCGGGGTGGCCTGGACACGGAAAAACACATGGTGCCAGCTCTGGACAACCATGTTAGATACACCCCTGAGTGACCTAGACACGTAAAAACACGTGCTCCTTACTCGGGACAATCATGTTAGATACCCCCATGGGTGGCCTGGACACGTAAGAATACGTGGATAAAGCTCGGGGCAACCATGTTAGATATCCCCCTGAGTAGCCTGGACACGTAAATACACGTGGTTACAGCTCGGGACAAACATGTCAGATACCCCCCATGGGTGGCCTGGACACGTAAAAACACGTGGGACCAGCTCTGGGCAACAATGTTAGGTACACCTCTGGGTGACCTGGTCACGTTAAAACACGTGGTCCTTGCTCGGGGCAACCATGTTAGACATCCCCCGGGGTGAACTGGACACGAAAAAACACATAGTGCCAGCTCTGGACAACCATGTTAGATACACCCCTGAGTGACCTAGGCACGTAAAAACACGTGCTCCTTACTCGGGACAATCATGTTAGATACCCCCATGGGTGGCCTCGACACGTAAGAATACGTGGATAAAGCTCGGGACAACCATGTTAGATATCCCCCTGAGTAGCCTGGACACGTAAATACACGTGGTTAAAGCTCGGGACAAACATGTCAGATACCCCCCATGGGTGGCCTGGACACGTAAAAACACATGGTTCCAGCTCGGGGCAACCATGTTAGATACCTGGCTGGGTGGCCTGGACACGTAAAAACACGTGGTTCCAGCTCGGGACAACCATATTAGATTCCCCCCTGCGTGGCCTGGATACGCTGAATTCGCGCTCCCGTTCGAGACATCCTTGCACTGTCTTCCCTTGAGAGGCCCCCAAAACGCCACCCCCTGTCCAGAGCAAGAAAACATAATTGTTCTGTATTGGGCTATGTGTTCGGGTAGCGCTTTTCGGCCCCGTAGATACCCCCCTGGGCGGCCTGGACACGTAAAAACAGGTGGTTCCAGTTCGGGACAATCATGTTAGATACGCCCCTGGGCGGCCTGGACACGTAAAAACAGTTGGTTCCAGTTCGGGACAATCATGTTAGATACCCCACTGGGTGGACGGACTCAGGATTGAGAGGGTGCACAAAATACGTTTGTTCGCGGTGTTGGCGTCCCAACATGATGGACCCACGAACCCGGAAAGGGATATAGAACCGCATGCATGGAAACGTTTTCACGACACCGTATTGGGCGACGGGCACTTCCACGAGACACCCCGCGAAACATTCCACGAGACACGGGCGACCGTTTTCAACGTTTTCCTGGAAACATTCCACGAGGCACCCCGCGAAACAGTCCACGAGACACCCCACGAAACATTCCACGACGACAGGCAACCACTGAACCAAGGCGGTGTGGTCGTGCTGGGGAGTGGTCGTGCTGGGGTGTGGTCGTGCTGGGGGGTGGTCGTGCTGGGGGGTGGTCGTGCTGGGGGGGTAGTCGTGCTGGGGGGTGGTCGTGCTCCTGGAGAAGGCAAATCTCTGGTGCGCCCAGATCCCTCAAGTTCTACAAAACAAGCGATTCGCTCGAGACATCCTCGGTAACTCTGCGGAGCAAGCGTTTCGCTCGAGACATCCTCAACACACGAAAGAGTGGCCCGCACCCTGAAATTTATCGATCGGGATTTCAAAAACAAGCGTTTCGCCTGAGACATCCTCAAATTTTAATCCGCCGGCCCACCTCGACCTCGATATTTATCAGGGACAGAATCCGCCGGCCCACCTCAATTGAGGCACTGGGGACAGATTACCATCCTAAAAGAGAACCCTGGGCCTACGCCCTTTCCGGGAAAAGAGAACCCTGGGCCTACTCCCTTTCCAAGAAAAAATTGTCTGGCACGATTCAGGATCGTCCAGACGCAACAGTCGGGTTGATCCGTGGCGCTGGAGTTCCGAAAACGGTACTTTGGCACGATTCACGTTCTTAAAGCGGTTGTCTCCCAACGAGGCAGTTCCCTCGGTGGCAATGAACCTGTGTAGGGGCCTATTAAAGAGGAAGCTTGGAGGGAGGGCTTATTCCAGCATCGTTGCTGAGTCTTAGGTTTACACTGTTCCTCCTCTTCCTCCTCCTCTTCCTCCTCCTCCTCCTCATCCTCCTCCTCCTCCTCACCTCCCTCCCTCCCTCCCTCCCCCTCCCTCCTCCCTCCCCTCCCCTCCCCTCCCCCTCCCCCCCTCCCCTCCCCTCCCTCCCCTCCCCTCCCCTCCCCTCCCCTCCCTCCCCTCCCTCCCTCCCCTCCCTCCCCTCCCCTCCCCTCCCCTCCCCTCCCTCCCCTCCCCCCTCCCCTCCCCTCCCCTCCCTCCCTCCCTCCCCCTCCCCCCTCCCTCCCTCCCCTCCCCTCCCTCCCTCCCCTCCCCTCCCCTCCCCTCCCTCCTCCTCCTCCTCCTCCTCCTCCTCCTCCTCCTCCTCCTCCTCCTCCTCCTCCTCCTCCTCCTCCTCCTCCTCCTCCCTCCTCCTCCTCCTCCTCCTCCTCCTCCTCCTCCTCCTCCTCCTCCTCCTCCTCCCTTGAGAATAGAAGACCAAAATGTTCGATGCTTTATTCAACCTTTGTGGAGCCTCTGGGGACACCTCCAGCAGCCTCCGGAGGCGTCCAGCCAGGCTGCTGGCGACCTCAGGAGACCCCCAGGACCGTCGGCGGAGACCTCCTCCCTCCTCCTTCAGAGGAGGGATGAGAAGAGGACCCGTCCTCAGTTAAGCTCCGCGCTCGATGTAGAGAGCCAGGTATGCCCACAGGTTCATGTGCGGCATCGTCATGGTGATTCCCTGGGTGGTGACAATATGTCAAAGCGACTCGAAAGCGAACGAATACTGAATCGCACATCGAAAATGGACATCGCAATAACATCAGAACACTCATAATGGTAAACAATATAACAATGTCTATCAGAAGAAGAAGAGAACTCCGAACATGATCGACCCACGAACCCGGAAAGGAATATAGAAATGTAACGCATGGCAGCGTTTTCAAAGACACCTGATTGGGTGACGGGCAAATGTAATGCTGAGTGTATCGATATTGATGTCCCCTGCCGAGGGCTTTGCTGTGCTGCGCCGTGTTAAATTGCAATGTGCCATGCCGCGATTGTGCTCTATAGCATCGTGGATCGAGTCCTCCTTTGCATCCGAGTCCTGACCGAACTGATCTGGATCTTAAGCTCGAGCTGCCTGAACACATAGTAGCTGCCCCAGCGCCAATTGACAAGGGGACCTGCCAGGAGGACGCGCCGCGAAACTTCCCAAGGGACGCGCCAGGCGACGTGCCAGGGGACGTGCCATGGGGTCGCACCGCGGGACGTGCCAAGGGGACGCGCTACGGAACGTGCCAACGGATGTGCCTCGGGATGTGCCAGTGGACGCGCCATGCGACGTGCCAGGGAACGTGCCAGGGCGCAATGCTGAGTGTATCGATCTTGATGTACCGTGCCGACGTCTGTGCTGTGCTGCGCCGTGCTGAATTGCGATGTGCCGTGCCGCGGTTGTGCTCTATAGCGTCGTGGATCGAGTCCTCCTTTGCATCCGAGTCCTGGCCGAACTGATCTGGATCTTAAGCTCGAGCTGCCTGAACACATGGTAGCTGGCCCAGAGCTAATTGGCAAGGGGACATGCCAGGAGGACGCGCCGCGGAACGTCCCAAGAGACGCGCCAGGCGACGTGCCAGGGGACGTGCCATGGGGACGCACCGCGGGACGTGCCAAGGGGACGCGCTACGGAACGTGCTGGGGACAAGCGTTTCGCTCGAGACATCCTGTCAAAATCCTCATGCTAGACATCCGTCTGAGCGACCTGGACACGTGAAAACAAGCGCTTTGCTCAACACATCCTCAACACGTTCTCATGCTAGACATCCGCCTGGGCGAACTGGACGCGTGAAAACAAGTGGTTCGCTCGAGACCTCAACACATCTTCATGTGAAACGTCCGCCTGGGTGACCTGGGCACGTGAAAACAAGCGTTTCACTCGAAACGTTTTCAACACCTCCTCATTCTAGACATCCGCCTGGGCGACCTGTACACGTGAAGGCAAGCGTCTCGCTCGAGACATCCTCAACGCATCTTCATGTTAAACATCCGCCTGGGCGACCTGGACATGTGAAAACAAGCGTATCTCTCGAGACATTCTCAACACATCCTCATGCTAGGTATCCGCCTGGGCAACCTGGACACGTGCAAACGAGCATCTCGATCGAGACTTCCTCAACACATCCTCATGCTAGACATCCGCCTGGTCGACGAGGACGCGTGAAAGCAAGCGTCTCGCTCGAGATATCCTCAACAAATCCTGGCGCTAGACCTCTGCCTGGGCAACCTGGAGGCGTGAAACCAAGCGTCTCGCTCGAGACATCCTCAAGACCTGGGCACGTGAAAACAAGCAATCCACTTGAGAGATCCTCAGAATTCAGGTCCCCAGGAGAGGACAATCCATAACACAAAACAAGCGTTTCGCTGAAGACATCCTCAACAAATTCTGAAAAACAAGCGTTTCGCTCGAGACATCCTCAAATCTTAATTCGCCGGCCCTCTTCCCACTCGTTATTTATCGCAAAAGAAATCCGCCGGCCCTCTTCCCGTCAAAACCGAAGGGAAACCTCTAAAAGAGAACCCTGGGCCTGAAGCCCTTTCTGGGAAAAAATATGCAGGAGGATAAGAAGAAGGAGAAGAAGGAGAATTACCCTGGCGACGTACCCAACCCTTTCGCAATGCGGGGCATAAGTACATCAGGATTGTTACAACGGGGGCGATGGCGTAACATGGACGCATGTGATTTTGCGAGCAGCAATCGGAAGGCTCGCAGGCCCCCCGATCAAGATATAAGGGCAACGTAATCACAAATCACCCCCGTTGGCTGTGCCATGCGCCCGTTGCACCCAACGTATCCCACAGTAGCTCTTGAGAGCCCCCGCGGGATACGTGTAGGCGCAACGTTATGGCCATCGCATCGCCCGGCAGATGATCTGTTTCACAAATTACCCCCGTTGGCTGTGCCATGCGCCCGTTGCGCCTAACGTATCCCACAGCAGCTCTCCAGCGCCTTCAGGGACGGCGAGGTCTCGCTCGGGTCCCCGCGGTGCCTCACTCCGCTGGACCCACCAGCAGCCCTCGAAAGTGGCCACAGTGTCGCAGATCGCAGCCCCCCCAGGGACGGCGAGGTCTCGCTCAGGTCCCCGCGGTGCCTCACTCCGCTGGACCCACCAGCAGCCCTCTAAAGTGGCCACAGTGTCGCAGATCGCAGCCCCCCAGGAACAGCGAGGTCTCGCTCGGGTCCCCGCGGCGCCTCACTCCGCAGGACCCACCAGCAGCCCTCGAAAGTGGCGACAGTGTCGCAGATCACAGCCCCCCCCCGGGGACGGCGAGGTCTCGCTCAGGTCCCCGTGGTGCCTCACCCCGCTGGACCCACCAGCAGCCCTCGAAAGTGGCGACAGTGTCGCAGATCGCAGCCCCCCCCCAGGGACGGCGAGGTCTCGCTCAGGTCCCCGCGGTGCCTCACTCCGCTGGACCCAAAAGCAGCCCTCGAAAGTGGCCACAGCGTCGCAGATCGCAGCCCCCCAGGGACGGCGAGGTCTCGCTCAGGTCCCCGCGGTGCCTCACTCCGAAGGACCCAACAGCCATCGAAAGTGGCGACAGTGTCGCAGATCGCAGCCCCCCAGGGACGGCGAGGTCTCGCTCAGATCCCCGCGGTGCCTCACTCCGCAGGACCCACCAGCAGCCCTCGAAAGTGGCGACAATGTCGCAGATCGCAGCCCCCCAGGGACGGCGAGGTCTCGCTCAGGTTCCCGCGGCGCCTCACTCCGCTGGACCCACCAGCAGCCCTCGAAAGTGGCGACCGTGTCGCAGATCGCAGCCCCCGAGGGACGGCGAGGTCTCGCTCAGGTCCCCGCGGTGCCTCACTCCGCTGGACCCACCAGCAGCCCTCGAAAGTGGCCACAGTGTCGCAGATCGCAGCCCCCCCAGGGACGGCGAGGTCCGGCTCAGGTTCCCGAAGTGCCTCACTCCGCTGGACCCACCAGCAACCCTCGAAAGTGGCGACAGTGTCGCAGATCGCAGCCCCCCCCCCAGGGACGGCGAGGTCTCGCTCAGGTCCCCGCGGTGCCTCACTCCGCTGGACCCAACAGCAGCCCTCGAGAGTCGCGACAATGTCGCAGATCGCAGCCCCCCAGGGACGGCGAGGTCTCGCTCAGGTCCCCGCGGCGCCTCACTCCGCAGGACCCACCAGCAGCCCTCGAAAGTGGCCACAGTGTCGCAGATCGCAGCCGCCCAGGGACGGCGAGGTCTCGCTCAGGTCCCCGCGGCGCCTCACTCCGCAGGACCCAACAGCAGCCCTCGAAAGTGGCGACAGTGTCGCAGATCGCAGCCCCCAGGGACGGCGAGGTCTCGCTCAGGTCCCCGCGGCGCCTCACTCCGCAGGACCCACCAGCAGCCCTCGAGAATGGCGACAGTGTCACAGATCGCAGCCCCTTGGCAAGATGCACACCACAGAAGAGGCACCGCAGCCAGGATGCACACACACACACATGAGGTACGCGCAAGGCAAGAGGAGACAAGACGGAAGCGGGAGACGGGAGGCGGGAGGAGGAGGAGTAGGAGGAGGAGGAGGACTGGAGACCGCAGTGCTCTGTTCAAAGCGAATACCCAACCAAGGAGGGTTGGGAAAAAGAAGATGAACGACAATAGTAAGATGAATATTAATTAGAGAGGTCAAACGAGGCCAAGAGAGCGGCAGCGGGCGAGCAAGAGGGAAGTGGGATATCAAGTGAGGGCGAGAGGAACACAGAAGGAGAGGCAGAGGGAACTGGAGTGAGAGGAGAGGGGGGGCGAGGAGAAGGGTGGAGAGGAAACTCCCGAGACGGCCAATGACAACCCAAGCGCGCTAAGATGCCCAGAGAATGCCCTGATGAGAATAAACACTGGGCGGCCCCAAGAGACCCCGGGAAGCGCGCGAGAGGCCACAGGAGAGGCTCCCAAAGAGACCCCAGACCAACCAAATCCGCCAAAAGCCCACAGGCTTGAGATGCGTTTCGCTTCCTGAGCCCGTCGACCCGAGATGGCAACAGAGTCCTTCTGACAGCCCCAAGGCGGCCCAATATGTCGCGGACGGCCCAGCAAAGCCACAGGACGGCCCCGAGAATGCCCCAAGACGGCCCAAACGGAAATGGCCCCAAGACGGCCCAAGAGAGGCCGAAGCACCTCCCCAGACTGCCCAAGAGGGCCCCCAGACAGGCCCAAGACAGCCCCGTCCTCTTCCTCCCCGTCCTCCTCCCCTCATCCTCCTCATCCTGCTCCTGCCCCCAGCTCCCTTCGCTGCGCCTGCCACGCACCACTTGGCGAGCACACCGCACCTGCCCTGGTCCTGCTTTCTTAGAGGAAGAAAAAACACATAAACTGTTGGGGCTCCGCGCGGACTTCTTGGATTTGCGCTGGGCCCCCCTCCCTGGCGCGCTGAGCGCGCCGGGGGCGGCGCCGCAGGCGCCGCCCCGAGGCCCCAGCGCGGATCCGAGAAATCCGCGCGGAGCGCCGAAAGCTTATGTTTATGTGTTTGTCTCTTCTTCGACTTCTCTCTTGTATGAGGGGCAGCGAGAAGGGGGGGGGGACTGGCATAGGGGGGGATGCATCGACCTGAAATCGGCGATACATCGCCGATACACCGGCGATAGGCCTCCGATAGTGAATCCGCACCTTCCTGGGCAGGTTGGGGCTATCGGGCTCCCATCGGCGACCAATGGGCGATTGGGGGTCGATGCATCCCCCGAATGCCTATCCCCCTATCGT